CGTCGCCCATTCTTGGGTTGAACAGCTCATGGTCATTGCACCGAATGGAACCTTTGTTGGGTCTCCAGGATATCCTCGAGGAAATGTTCTTCGCACTGATCCCGCCTTCAACGACAAGACCATGACCAATCTGATACCGCCTGATGGTCGAGCTAATCTGAGTCAAATACTTCCAAGTGATCGTCTGTGTAAGGATACACAACAGAAACAGTCCCAGACCGAGGGTAGTCCAAGGCTTCAGGCAGGTCCTGGTGCTGCTATCGCCCTTCGCTTCCAGGAAAACGGCCATGTGACCCTGCCCCAGAACCAGCCTGGGAAACCCAGGAACCGCGGGACGGTATATGTGTACGGGACGACAGAGCCAAAGGACGACGAACGGCTTCTTGACGTACACAATGTCTGGAACAAGGAAGGCACAGGAGGTGACGGGCGCGGCGTCCTCTTGTCGGTGCAAAATTTTGACGATGGCCGTTGCTACCAGATAAACAGTGGTGCGATATCCGAAGATCGCCAGACCACGTACCCGCATGAGGCAAACCAACTCATGGGAGCCGATCTCTGGTGCCAACAAGACATTGCGCTACCATCTGAAGCGCCAACCGGCAAGCCCTATACGTTGTACTGGGTTTGGGACTGGCCTACAGCTCCGGGAGTGGACCCATCCTTGCCGAATGGAAAGCAAGAGATCTATACTACCTGCATCGATGTGGATGTGATTGACGGGCCTCCTACTCATGTCCGTATACCGGCGAACTACGCCAAGGGTCAGCCACTAAACAATGCGGCCATCCCATCTCAGTTCGCAGAGGTTTTTGGAATGGAACGTTCGTCTTTCTCTGCGCCTGTCTCTTCGACATCTCGGCTGATTCCGACACCGACTGTCGTTCCCAAGCAACCCACACCAGCGACAGTGACTTCTTTCATTACTTTGACCAAGACTGTTCAGCCAAACGCCTGTCAAACCAGTCCAGGCTCGTCAACACCTAGCTCTCCCACGCCCATATTCTCTGCTCCAGCTTGGAACTGGTTTCGAAAGCCTGTCTAATTCTCACACCCTTATTCTCAAGGCAAAAGGGTTGGCAGATCTGCTCTAGAACTCTCGCTTGTCAGCCACAGCTGGTACTGTGCATCTTTTCTTTTTTTGGCTCCAGTTCTCCTTTGTTTATTAATAAATAGAAAGTGTTTCCAACCCAGCAAAACGGTTGAAAAAGACCATCGTCCGTAAGCAAGTGGTAGAAGTAGAGAACCATGTACGCGCAACCTGTGTGGCTGCCACTCGCCAGGGGGATTATCCTGTTCATAAATCTTTCAGCCAGCCTGATCATTTTCCAGCAAGCAAGGGTAACCAGTTTCGCATACCAGGCTACCGTTGGGTTACATGCGAGGAAATATTCGCCAGTGTTCAATGAGCATTGGAGCCTGGACCAACGCAAGGGGACAAGGAGGCCTCAGGCATGATTTTAAGATGGGGATAGATCAAGGCACCATATTCCTGAAACACGCTAGTCCGCGCGTGGTAAGTCACGTGGAGGCATCCCAAGTCGCGGGGCGAAGGAAAAAAGCTGCGACGAGGAGATCGAATCATATCATTGAACCTTTAGAAGTGACTGATTCGACATCTGTCCCCATACTTTGGACTCACTGAAGAAGCTCAAATCGAGATTTTGGGTTGATTTTTGGTACAACGTTCTCGTCTCTGCATGGCTGCGGTGCCAGTCAAGCCCTCTTTCTCCACCGACTGCGCCTTGATGATCCTAAACGCTTTCGGGCCTTGAGTCTTCAGTACCTCGCAAGTAGGTAATCTCCGACCTCCTGCTTGGGTCCCGCCATCCATCGATCGTCCATTTTGTCCCCTAATAATAAGAAGAACGATAATCATTATTACTATCACTTGCACTGGCAACTAAGCATAGTCACTCTACTTGGTGGCTCTTCCTCCTCGTTCTTCCTTGCAACCCCTCCTCCCCCCTCTCTCTATCTCTCCTTCATCGCTCTCTTGTTTATTGCTCGTCCTTACTATTGGTTGTCTCCTTATTAACCGGGACCAGCTGCTGCTATATTTAGAACCTCCCACTTCCATCGCCTCCGTACCTTCAAACGACTCGACAAGAATCCAAACGCTGGACAAAATTCCTTCAAGTCCAGTATTATTGCCTCGACAACATTCAACCCGCTATTGGTTGCAAGGGTCCCCTTATATTTCTCTTTCTCAAAAGCTCCGACTGGGCTTGCGTCTCATTGCTCCATTGGTTCGGCATCTCGATTCAAAAGACAAACCGAGGCGTTCTTTGGGGGGCTTTTTTTCCTACGAGATCAATAGCCGCGCACAGAACCTATCTCGGTCGTTGGTTGTTGCAACAGTCGCCAACTGAGGCACTGGAGACATTGCGAATATCTGGCGTCTAGAATCGCCGTACGGGCGTTTTCGAAGCGACATCGACTTGGAGAATCCGGATTACACCTTACCCCAGCCTCATACAGTCGCTGGTCCATATTGTGCTTGTAGGCAAGGAGCTCTTAAAGTACCTCTCAACCTGCATGCTTTCACTCTTATTACTTCCATAACGCCCAGCCATCTGCGTCGACTGAATTATATTGGGGGGTATCCTCATATCATCAGGCGTGTCCTGCGACCTAACATTGATCGGGATTCGCAGAGTGGACGACGCGATGCGAGACTAAAGTCGCAACGCTTCCTTTACCGTCAACAACAATTGCCTCCTCACCGGACACGTCTTTAGCTCAGATCGCTTTTCTTTCCGGAGAGAGCGCCCTCATAACCGTCATTATTGTCGTGCCTCCCGCGCAAATCTATCATGGCAACCCTAACCTCATCGGCTTCTCGGCCGCAGTCACAGGTGGTCACCTCCATGACGAACTTGTCGGTCTTACCTCCTATTATAACAGATGCTTCCGGGAAAACACAAATCGGGCAGCGGACATCGTCGTATGCGAAAGATCGTCTATCGACGTACTCGAATGTTTCCGCAACTTCTCAAAGTCGCTCTCGTCCGGGCTCGCATGTGTTCCCAATCTTTCATTCCAGTTTGCCATATGCGCTCGTTCGGGATTTCGCGTACCCTCCAATTCACCCACTTCATTACGGTCCTCTGCCGCCCCGTGCCTCCGGTGTGTCCACTCCGGCAAGTGAACATCGGCGCCTTTCGGACCCTCCCGTACCATGGGATAACTCGCGCGGTCAATGGTCGTCGGGCCCTTGGAGAACGGATCAGAGTCATGGTCAACAGCAATTACCCGCAATGTCGTTTGGCGATGGGCCCCCTTATAGCGAAGATGAAGATTTGCATAGCCCAGTGTTCTCCGCGTCGCGGCACCGGAAGAACAAGTCGACAGGGATGAATGCGAATGGCCGAAGAACGAGAAGTCCCGGTCGCGGCCATCAGTCTGCCTACTTCTCCGGTGACGCTGACCGAGGAATACTGGTCAGCATGAACGCGGACGGCAGCGAGACTTACTATGTCAATGATGACGATGATGGGACAGATGATGGCCCTGGGGGAGAATATGTCACCTATCCTCCGAATGAGAGCCGATATTCTCACCTGGGGAACGAAGCTTACGGCGACTATCAGGACCGTGAGCATGATGCAGGGTTCGAATCTGAGGACGATTATTCCGGTGCCGACCGATATTCGGGCGATTTCCAATTTGCGGTTGGCTGTCCCGATGAGGAGATGCATGGCAAAGCGGTTGCGCTATTTGATTTCACGAGAGAACATGAGAACGAATTGCCGTTGACGGAAGGACAGGTGATTTTTGTCTCATACAGGCACGGACAGGGCTGGCTAGTCGCGGAGGATCCAAAGACTGGTGAAAGCGGTTTGGTACCAGAGGAATTTGTTCGGTTACTTCGGGACATCGAAGGTGGCCTGACATCGCTCAGCGTCGACCCAAGTCTCGATACTGAGGAGGATGATAGCACATACTTGAGCCCGGACTCAACCGACTCAGAGCAGGCCATCACACCAACTCAGAACGACCAATTGCCTCTGAGCTCTGACAGGGGGTCTGTTCATATTGCCAACGGCACAACGAATTTGGAGAGTTCAGCCGTCATCCCAGCTGGCGGGGGCGAGACCGAATCGAACCCATCACATTTTCTGCACAACGGACAGGAGATCGGCAGCACCCCACCAATCGAACAACGAATGTCGGAGAAACAAAAGACAAAAAGGGAAAGCCAGATGGGTATCTTGGCAAAGACATGAGACATGTCCTTCAACATTGGCCTTGAGCGCCCTGGATGGACTGGCTGCAGGTGGGAGACTTCCACCTTGAGGCTGTCGTGAGCGTTGTGCGTTTACGACTCGGGTCTGTTTCTAAGTAGACAGACGGATTCAAAGATTTCTCATTCTTTGCTGCTAGCCTTGAATGACTTTCAGGATTGCTCAAGAGCAGAGTGCCAGCTGTTGTTCAACCGCCTAAGAAGGCGATTTCGAATTGATACATAGGGTGACTCGAGACCAGTGTCATCCCATACACATGACACGATATATTTTATGACAAGAATTCGCATCGGATAACCTGGTGGATGAAAGGTTGAAGATGCTTTATATTTGACAAATTGAGCTCTCAACGAAGGGAAGGATATACCACTTCGCTTGTTGGCTTGAACAAACCAGTAAAGGAGAACACAAATTGTTCTTCCTGCGATTTCTGGCTTGTAAATATTTGACTTTTTTCTTTTTCTGCATGGTTTTACTGTCTTCAATATCCAGCGCCGGCGTCATCTTCTGTGTCAGCATCTGTTCTTGATTCTTCGGCCTCAAGGGGCTCATTGTGCATGGTATGGGCTATCATTCTGTCGATTCTAGTCTCTGTGAGATTGGAAATCAATAAGAGATTATGCTATAGGCAGGTATACAGTAAATGACGAGTGAATGGTATATATACTTGAACCCGTACGTACACCACAATATCCAACCAGTTACCCAGTCCCACACTAGTCAATATACATCCCATCGTATCGGGCAACCAAATCATCGCTTGTAATCCACCTCCGAACCAGGCAACTCGGCCATCCTCCCCATAGACCCCGGTAGCTCCGACAGCCTACCCGCCCCAAGCACCTTGCTGCCACCCATCGGAACCGCCAGCTCATGCACCGCCGCTTCCCCCTGCGCATCCATCTCCTGCCTCATCCGCCCACCCAGCATGGGAATCTCCTTCTCGTCCAGCTCCGCAGCACCCTTCCCCTCGGGATCATGGTCCTCTTCTCGCGTCGCCGATCCCACAGTAGAGACCGCAGTACCAGCACCACCACCAGCAGCATCCTCACCAGCCCGCCGCGCCGGTTGTTGATCTCCCGCCTCCTGCGCGGCCGCAAGTCGTCGACGCCGCCGTCGGAACCGGAAGATGAACGCGATGAGCCCGGCTAGCACCGCGGCGGCGAGGACGCCCCCGACGATGCCACCGACCTGCGAGCTGGATAGGCCGTTCCCAGATTGTGATTGTGGTTGTGCGGAGGGAGACGGGGGTTGAGTTGAATCGCTGCCTGTGCCGGCGCTTGTGCTTGTGCTTGTGTTTGCGGGTGTACTCGTGGATGTACTGGAGATGGGGAGCGTCGCTGTCCCCGTCGATGCGCGAGTCGAGGATGCGGATGTGTGGTTCGTCATGTTGGTGTATTTCACGCAGCATTGGATGTTATTCGGCCCGGGGCAGGGCCAGGGGTACTAGCTCCGTTTCTGTCAGTTGGCAATGACTTTTGCTTTGAGAGCATGGGGCATGAGATCTACCGATGTGCCGGCGAAATAGGCGCCCTCCTCGCAGGTCTGGTTCGAGGCGTCGCGGCAGTAGCCTGTTCCTTCGGAGACGGTGCAGCGGCGGTGGAGGCAGCACTATGCGGCATTAGTATCAGGAAAGGATGGAAGAGGCAGAGGCAGATCTTGCCGTGTAGTCGGTGGGATCGCTTTGGCATTGATCTGAGTAGACTATACCAAGGCCTGCGCAAGTTAGATGGCTTGTCGCCACGGGGTACGGAGTATGGAGTATAGTTACATCGAGAGGAAGGGAGGCACTCTCCGTCGCCAATACCGCCTGAACAGCCATTGTATGCCTCGTTGAGTTGACGGGGGAGTAATAGGTTGCTTTCGAAGATGGGGTTGAGGAACATGGTCATGGTCGTATATGGGATGGAGACAGATAAAATTGTCAGAGGAAGATTAACTAGCAATACGACGCGAACCCTGGTCTATCTATATTATATGCCTAGACCTAGTTAAGTGACCAACACGCTCAAAGCTAAAAACAGACTTCAAGACTGACACTGAATCAATCACAGTTCACTCGTGCGGCTGAAACGTTCGAACCAGTCGTCCAGTCATAAGACTGTGCCAAGTTCACGCAGGAAGATAGGCATCAGGGAGATGGAATACTCCATAGAAGAATACATTCCGTCCCTCGTATGTTCCCCCAGGTACTCCGTATCAAACGCTTATTGGATAGTTGCAAGACTCCTTTACCCGAGTCTCTCTGAGGGGGTTACACAGCAGACCAGAGAATCGAGGATCAAGAGCCAAAAAGGAGACACATAACTATCCATGTGGGAATGCGACACGACACCAGAAGAGGACCTAGTTTAGTCTAGACTATTATTATTCTTGCCTACCAGGGCTACTCTGGACGCTGCGGTATGCATCGGGGGGAGGCACTTTACCTGAAGCGGGTGCTGATCGTCAAGACAGCACACATTCTGGAGGGAAGCCTGCAGGGAAAATACGAGCCCCTGCCCAGGGTCTAACCTGCAAAGAGCCAATCTCCTTCGGCAATGATTTGATGGTCATAGTGGAAGGATCAATTTCAGTCCCCCATACGGACTAGAATCAAAGCATCGATGACAGGAATAACACCCATAGAGGAAAGGAGTCTCTCGGCGGGGTGTATAAACGGTTGTCGTCTGGAGGGCCACATACCCAAGCGAGGATGGTGTGCAGATAATCATCGTATCAAGGAGATACTAGGAGTGGTGCCAACCTTAATTCGACCATTTGGATTCGAGCTCTCACAGCAGCTGCGCGGGTCTCCAATTGGATTACTCCACAGCAAGGCATGCAGAAGTTACATCGAAAATAATACAGGGTGGAATGAGAAGACTGCGCTCATGGACAAATGATCTTTGGTGACTGGCCTAGAACCCTGTATATCGATTCCTTCCCCAAACGAAAGAGAGATTGAGAAAAAACTTGCACTACGGAGAGAATATCGCCTGGTAATAAAAGCAGAGACAGAAAAACAAATAAAATCATCAGAGACCAGTGACAATTAGCCCAGCAAATCGTCAAGCCCCGAACTGCCGGTCTTCGTCCCCTGTTGCTGTGTCGATGAGTTCATCGAAGGAGAAGGAGAAGTTGGAGTGAAACTGCTCGATGGGGCCGGGGCTCCCCAGATTCCCGCGCTAGCCTTCTCTTTAGCCATACTAGCCAGATTGGGCCCCTTGCTAGCATTTGCGGATGATTTTTGAATGCCTGCACTGGCACTGGCGGTCGACCAGAGAGATCCAAAAGCGTCACCCGACGACTTGGATGCCGCCGGCTTACCACCGACCGATGAAGTACTCCGGGCAGAAGTGAAAGAGGAGGTCGACGGCACGCCCGGTCGGTGGCTGGGTGTCATGGCAGTTGGCTGCTGTGCGGTGGCGGTGGTAACGGAGGTGAAGTAGTTGGGAGTGGCGGCCTGGAAGCCCGTCGGTTTGGGCTGTGCGGGCTTTGTCTGATGCGATGGCGGCACCATGGAGCTCTGAGAAAGTGTGGGAGAGGCAACTGTGCTCGATGTCGGAGTCGGGGTCATTGATGTGAATCCGACCAAACCATTCAGGTTCGGCCCTTGCACGCCAGAGACGGGCCGAGGAGCGGCAAACTGGGTACTCGAGGTCGTACTGACCGTGGACGCGGGCGCGGGAATAGCGAATTGGTTGGCTGCGGGCTGCGGTGCTGGCGTTGCGGACTGGAAATCATCAAACTCGTCATCGTCATCGATCGGTTTGGACTCGAGAATATCCAGGCCGTTACTGCTGGCAGGCTTCTTGCCAGCCGCAGTAGACGTGGAAGCAGCAGTGACCGTCTCCTCCTCGCCAAAGTCAAACAGGTCTTGTTCCGGCGCCTTGGGAGGCTCGGGCTTCTTCGCTTCCTGCTTCGGACGTGGAGGGCTGGGTCCGCGACGCTGCGCCGGGCTGGCGTCGCCCTCATCGTACTCGTCATACTCCTCGAACCGGTTCCCTCTCCGTCCCGCATCCTGGAACTCGCTAGAAGTACCCCCAAAGCCGCCGCCGTCACCATAGACACCTCCACTGTATCCACCAAAGGACAGGCTATCGCTGCCAAATCCGCCGTACCTGCCAGAGGAACCGGAAAAGCCGCCTCCCATACCACCCATTCCACCGGAACCGATTCCGCCCTCGAAGCCACCGAACTTGTTGCGGTTCGCACGGGCCTTCTTTCTCTCGGTGCGGATAAGATCCACATCACCAAGCAGCTTCACCAGCTCCGACGATCGGTTGCGCACGTTCACACCTTGGTCCTTTCCGTTCTGGTCGATGTAATGAAATTGGCGTAGCATCCGGATCAGGGACAGGTGCGACCGGGCATCGTCGACAACGCGCTCCGAACCATTCTTGATCAGAAATTCCAGTAGTTGAAGACTCTGTATGATACAAAAGGACGAATCAGTCTAGCCGGTCTCGGGTGGACGCCAGCCCGCGCAATCGTACCTTGTAGATCTGTCGCCACTCCTCCGCGCTCTTGTCTGTGAATCGCTTGTAGATCATTGGCATAATTTCGTTCAACAGCTGGCTGTTAGCAACGGAGGTTAGCATTGAGCCCAGACCCGTCGAGTAATCGACGTCGCGACAAGTACAGAGCGAGGGGATAACTGACTAGCTGTGAGTTCCGTTGGCGATCTCCTGCATCAATGTAGTTGAAGCGCCCCAGGGTTCATTGTTCGTAGCTTCCCGGACCTGCTCGCAGTTAGAGATCTGCCTGCCAACCCGGACAATCCGTCATCGCTCTCTCAGGACAAGAGCGAAGCCGCCAATGCGACTGGCAGGGCGGTGACAACAAACCTTGGACTCCATCTCGGTGTAGTTCATGACAGCTAAGAAACAGAAAAAGTTAATAGCGTGTACGCCATAGTAGACAACCGTTCAGGGCTGAAGGAAGTCTGGAGAGAAAGACGGGTTGCCAGTAGATGCTGCATTGGAGTACCTACCATTCTGCACCTTGCGGACTCCCGCCTTGATATCATACAAGGTCAGGTTGCTGACCTGCTCTTTCAGACTGTTGAAATCCATGGCGCAGACTCAGCTTTGTGTGGTGTATTTGCACTCCTGAATCGACAAACTTTTGAGAAACAAAGGAAAGAAAGAAAAAGACCAAAAATGCAGTATATTTGCGCAAGGACTTGATTCAGGACGAGGCAGACAAGGACAACGAGGAGGCGGGAGTTCGGGGATTCAAGCTGGCATCCGCAGTTGGGGCCCAAGGCATCCCGAAAGTCACGTGGGAACCCCTGACATGTCCATGTCCCATGTACTGGAAAGGTCCATCATCATAGCCTACAATCGCATCATTATCCTTTCAGCGATGTGACAACGTAGATATCCAGATTGCCTTTTTGAAAGCTGTCATATCATGTACTACTAAACACTATCGGACCAATACATACATAGAAGACTCGTCTAAATCATCAAGGGGAATCATCAATAGGATCAGTGAAAGGTAGGGTTTCAAGGCGACGACGAATTTTGAAAAGGAACAACCAAAAACGTAAAGACTTTGCTGGGGAATCGCGTGCCGAGATGCCACGGCTCCGCAGCAGAAAGAAGGAGAGGTAATCAGACATGAAGTGGATATCGCTGGTAAGAACGGGGTCATCATCAACTAAAGCATGCTGAACGGGTTCCTATCCGGAGATGACGAACCACAATACTGGTGGGATACAATCGAATGAGGACGAGTGAAAACAACAAAAATCAAACAGACGTCATAAAGGAGATTTTCGGGTATTCTGCTGGACTTATCAATCCGGTCCAGCCGAGTACCCCATCATATCAATCATTCGTTATAGAATTTTCTCATAATCAGATGCAAGAAGAGGTTCACGTTGACTCGTAAGTGTCCATCGAAGAAGTCCATGAACTGCATGTTGTTGAATTGCGCTTGCAGCAAGTCGTCCAAGGGCACCTGAGCGTTTGCCCCCGGGACCATCATGGGACCACTGCTGCCATCGAGGGTGAAGACACCGACTTCATTGCTAGATATTGTGAGGTCGACACGGTCCCATTGGCGCTCCGAGTAGCCCTTCCAGTAAACCAAAACGCCCTTGTCTGCGAGGTTCCGGGCCGAGTATTTGTAGGAGCCGAACTTGAACACTTTGCCGGACTTTTGAAGCTCGCGTTGATGGTCCCATTGTTTGGTAAATGGCATGAGGAATCGCTTCTTGCCTTTCTTGTTCTGCAAGGTCACCATTGCCTGCTCGATGTAGTCGTTGTAGGTTTTGAGCTGCTGTTCCAGCCAACCGGCTTGATCGTTGAGACGACCCAGGGTAAGACGTGCGCTCTCCAATTCTCGCTGCCGCTGAATTCTACGGCGGTGCTTAGTGCGGATATCAATAGCAATGGCATTGAGGAGATCTTGATAATGGTTGTCACGGCGAATCTTGCCGGTCCGCTCGAGCTGGAGAATGTTCTCAAGTGCAGTCCGTTTCAGCTCGGAGTACGTCATGGACGCAATATCGACCAGCGTGCTCGCCTCAGAGTATGCGCTTCGCTGGCTGGTATTCGCGGTTAACTCGTCCCGTACCAAGGTCATCCATCGTTCTTCGTCCTCCTCGGTGGGTGGTTTGACCATAATTTCCAAGAGATTGGCGCCCGTCTGAACCCTAATGATATAGAGAACACATCGTTTCGTTTCCATGAAAAGCGCTTTGACATCTGCTTCGGGATCTGGAAGGTTTTCCCGTTAGCCGATAGTCACAGACAACTGCCTTAAACAACTTACCTTCTACTTGCGCAAGCTTGGGATTTAACGTCAAATTGATTTCCGAGGAATTGACGCTCATTAGTTCGTTCTCGTTCGTCTTCACATTTCCGAGATCGCGGATTATCTCCCTTAGAATATCGTCGGGGTGTGGACAAATATAGTTGATCTCAGACGCAACAAGTTGGTGGATCGAAAAAATGTCAGACATCTTGATGTACAGTGTAGGCTTAGTCTTCGCGTAAAGATCATTGAATTCATCAATGTCGAAATACGCTTCCGCATCTTGTACCGACACCACTATATCCTAGTTAGCTCCTGCACGATATGCTCATGTACCTAGAAAAGGAGCAAACTTACTGTCGCCCCAAATTCGGCCGAGTCGTTGAATTGAGTCGGCAACATAGCTGTTCAGCGGCTGCAGGTAGACATTCTCCGTGCCAAACAGTCTTCCGGAGGCGACCTGGGCCACAACCTTGGCAATTTCAGACAGATTTCTCTTCTGCTCCTGCGTGAGACCACGTTCTATGACACCATATTTCTCTGGTTCGACCATGGCAGGCTGGAAGTAGTTTCTCCAGACCCAATGACCGACGGCCTGGAGAATGAAGCCAGGATCCTCTCCTGGGAACCGGGAAAGGAGGCACTCATACATCTGTTGCGTGATATAACGAATTCCAAAGGGCATGCGATAGAGGAGTTCTTCGAGCGCAGTGAAGAATTGGTCTGCAATGTCACGAAGATCCTGCAGATTTTGAATAAACGTCGCTCTCGTTTCAGGATCTCTGATGGCCTCTTCTCTGGGAAGGTCCAGTGGCCGCCGACTTCTCCTGCCGGTACGCAGTTCTTCGTTATTGATCGCCGAGCGGTAGATTTGGATGGGGTCGCTTTCCAGGTCCAGCTCTGGATTCTCGACCACGTTTTCCCTGACAAGCGGCCCAAGGACATCGCGCATGAATTTCCGATCCCGAGGAGACTTGATGTAGGATGCGAATAGCTTGTTCCAGAACGAGTTACAGCGCAGATATTCATGCAACGAATCAAAACTCTCAATCTCCTCCTTCGCCGAGCGGGACAGCAACTTGATGAGGTAGTACTCCTCGCGTCTCTTCTGGGAATAACCGAAGAGCCCCATCATCAAGTGCCTTATTCTCTCGTACTCCTTTTCCGGTGTGTTGAGCTCTCGCAGTCTGCGGAAAAGCTTGGCGAGGTACTGAGATTGTGTTTGCAAGAGAAAGAAGAGCACTTGATAGTGCTCCAACTTTTTCCTGGATGTCTTATTCAAGGCCTTGAGGTCAAATGGGTCTTTTGACGAGATGTCTGCATTGGACAAGAGGCTGCCAACATGGCCTCCAAAATGCTTCTGATGTTTGACGACTTCGTCCAGCGTAATCTTGTTCTTTACCAACAGAGCAATCTTGATGTCCAGTTGACTGATATATTGTTCCGCCAGTTCATTTTGCCGGACCTGTTGCACGACCAATTTTCTGAGTCGCTCGAATTCTATTTCCTCGTCAAAATCGAATTCGCTGTCGTTCAAGAGATGCACAAATCCTTTGACTGTATTGACTGGTGGATTTTTTCCTGTTGTGAGGCTCTTGTATGCCTGACCCTGGATTCTGCCTCGCACGATGCTCTGCGCCTTGATGACCCTTTCCATGTTGGCCCGATAATATTGGCGCTTTTCTTCGAACTTCGATCGGATGATATGTCCGCGCATGCGAGATTGTAGGTCCGTGATCAGTTCCTCTTCGGCTGCTAGATCAGCCAAATCCTGACCGACATCGACCCGAACGATCATCGCTCGGATATGCGCCTGCAGCTGGCTAACCTCATCCTCACAATCTTCCAGCTCATCAAGAACAGCTCCAACATTGATTCTCAGAATTGCCGCTCTGGAGAGAGCTTGAAGATCCACAATGATGTGTTCCTGTGCTCGGAGAGCCTCTGCGTCGGCTTCCAGGCGCCTTCTTAGGATAGCACCTCGGGCCGCCGACTGCATCTGTAGAATTGACCCTTCCTCTTGCACCAACGTCGCTCTCTGTGCGTCCAGAGCGTCCCGTACACCTTTTGCTCGAAGAATACTCTGAAGCCCAACGATTGTCAGAGTGTGCTGCCCTAACGCTTGTCGAAGTGAGTTCAGGTGGCCCCTAACAGTTCCACCACGGACGAAAGCCTGCAGAGATATGCATTCATTCTTTGTCTGTGCAAGCAAATTGGTGAGTTGGAAATAGTGGTCTCTGGCCGCCAGAGCTCTAGCACCGGCTTGAACTGATATCACGGACGGCACCTCCTCCGCGAGAGAGCTCTTCAGCTGAATGACGGCTGTACGTGTCAACATTCCTCGAATCGCAGCCTGCAGCAATTGCACATTATCTTCAGTCTTCTTGATGTCGTCTTGTTGAGCGCTTAACTGCCGCCGGAAATGAGCACCCCGAATGAGCGACTGGAGTTGCGTAATTCCATCTTCAGCGGATTGCGTCTTTTCGTGTTGCTCTGAGATCATTTTCCGACGAAGAGCACCTCGCACAGCAGCTTGCAATGCGGTAACTTGAGGCTCTATGGCTCTGGTGTCTTCGTACACGGCGCAAACTTTCTTCCGCTGCAGGGCGCCTCGAAGAGCCGCCTGAATCTGCTTGATGCCGGATTCTTCTTTTCGCGTCCGACTCCGGAGATACTGTACTTGGGTTCTTGCTTTAGCGCCTCTGATGAGAGTCTGCAGCCGCAGAACATCAAGCTCCTGAGCTTGGAACCATTCCCTATCACCTTGCTGGCGGGATCGTACAATGAAACCTCTGCAGGCCGCCTGCAAGTTCACTGCAAAAGACCGCATGTTCAGCCGATACTGAATGACCTGACGGGCCCAGTCGCCACGAAGTCTGGATTGGAGGTCGATGAGGAAAGGTTCGAAATCCCATAGTTCATTCATGACATTGCCAAGCTTCAGCCGCAACATCGCGCCCTTGATCTGAGCCTGAAATTCGGCAATCGAGGCTTCATTCTCGTGCAGTTCGCGCTCGATTCGCTCTTCTTCAGTTTCAGGTTCTGGCTCTGGTTCTGGCTCGGGCTCTGCACCAAAGTTCGCAGCCATGCCGGAGAAGCTGGGCATACTTACTCCTGACTTGTCGAGCCCCTTTTGTGTTTGTTCGAGCTCATGGTGTTCGAACTCGAGTTGGCCGACAAGATTTCCCATGCGAAAATCCACCAGGCCTTTTTTGAAGAGCAACCATGACAAAGCGTGCACGCAGTGGATGACCTTCGGAATGTTCTTCTTTTCGTACAAATCAATGAGTTCGAACCTGAATAGCTCGGGTAGCTCGACTTCGTCTAAAAAGCGAAAGAACAAGGCTATATTGTCGGAGTGTCGGTACTGCAGTTTCGGGTGCCTGAAGATTCGGAATGTTCGGTTAGGATACATCGCCTGCACGACTTCTGCGAGAGTGACGCCATCTCTGAGGGCTTCCTCCAGTTGGACGATTGGCGGGATTTGCTTCTGAATGACCTCTTCGATCCATTCCTTGGCTTCTCCGATGTGGCAAAGATACTCGTACGCCTGCAAAAATTGACGTTGTTTGTCCATCCAATTACCAGCCGCCCATGCCGACGCATTCTGCTTTCGAGCAACCCTGGAGCCCTGCGCGCCCGCAACGGACCCCGCGCGCTTCAGTCGCCGTCGTCCCTGCAAGCCCACTACAGAAGGACTGTAGGTTTCGAGAGCAAACTCCTCAGTATCGCCCGATTTGGCGAACTTGGACAAAGTACGGAGGTGGCCCGTCGATGACTTCTTGAAAGTCTCTAGTTCTGGTGTTGAGAGGGTCGTCGTAAGCGGTGGTGGAAGTGGGTTAGACAGGCTATGTGAGTGATGTGGTCGGATATGTGGTCGAGAATGAGGTGAAACGGCATGAGGAGATTCTGGCTGTATGGGGTTTTTTTTCGATGGGGTCTGCGAGTTGAGTGACTGTCGTTCGCCCAGTCGGTCGCCCTCCAAACTGTGTGGGTGGCGTGAATCGGGAGTTCGAGGGCGGTTTTCCTTCCAATGCTGTGGATTATCGACGGTTTGACTTCTCGTATGCCGATATACCGATGTTGTGCTCGTCGGAGGGGCCGCATTAGGAACCTGGGGAAGTGGTCGCAAGGAACGCCGAACATTCTCATATGTCGTCGCCGCGCTCGTCCAGCTTTCCCCTACAGAGGTGTCTTTTGCCATTGCTCCCAATGTAGTTGAGTTTAGTTCACTTTTGCCTCGTCGGTGACCGATCCGGGAAGCAGATCCCATGGACGCATTTGACGAGACGGTACTGGTTCGACTGGGAGCTTGCGAATTTGACGAGAGAGAATAGACAGATGAACTTGTGGATGCGGTCGAGCCATGTCGGAGCGGGCTCGAGGTATGTTGCAGAAGATCGGTCTGTGTGCGTCGTGGAGAAATTGGCTGACTCGCCATCACTGATGACGTTGTGTGGGCAAGAATGCAAAGATCAAGAGAAATGGGGAATTTTGAACTTCAATTGGCCGCATGCCTGCTTCGTAAAGCAGAAGCAGTGCTGGAGCTGTAAGTAGGACGAGTATCTAATGCGCAATAGTACCTGACTACTTTTGGTTGAGACGGGAATGTTTATTCAAGGGAGGGACCGCATTGCCCTATGGCAACCGAAAGAATTGGGCGGGTCGATCGGGGTTGATATAGAAACGCGGCGGACGTAACGTAACCTCTCTCTCTTTGCAGATGAGAAGAGTAAAAGAATCGAAAGCGGGAGAGAAATCGTAAATTTGGAAAGAGTAAAGAGGTATCAACGACAATAACAAAGCGCTTCGACCCCTCGGGAGATGTGAACGCAAGAGGGGGGAGGGGAAAGAGTACAGAGTAAGGTAGAGAATAGATGAGTATGTAGTGGGATGAGAAGGCGCTACCTAGGTACCTTTTTTTCACTTGGACAATGCCCTCCGCAGAGATACTTGATCTTGATGTCCCAGCCCCCTCTGTATCTCCGTCAGGTCTCACGGAAGCAAGCGAGCAATAATCAGCAGGGCAGGGAAAACAAATCTCCAGATCGGGTATGGTTGGCTCCGTCAGGTGACCGTGCCACACCTACCTCGTCCATTTCTGGTAACTATCGTCATTTTTCCAGCCACAGATCGCTTCACGTGCAGCCCACTTATGGCACATCCACGATCCATCTCTTCTGCTTATCAAGTGTCAATCTATGATACTTAAGGTAGGTACGGACAAGTACTCCCGACTGCACGTGTGATCAGTCCAATACACCAATACACCAATCTGATAAGATGTTTAAATACAAGATTCAGTCTTTTTTGCCATGGAGTTTTCTCACTTTATTACTAGTAAATGTGGCACTGGGGGAGATTAGATATGGGTTGTTCGGGATGACCGATGGAGGCCAGCCGATTCTCTGCGGGGCTCATCACGATCTCCAACCTGGTTCACCCGTGCAACTGGGAAGATATCCTTGTTATTATTATCAGATGACATGCAGTCGTAAATTCAATGGGTCCAGAGCGTCTCTAGCCTCTCGGTTATCTCTAACTAGTCTTCAGATCTTTATCGCTTCTCTGAAGTTCAATTGCCTATACACCAGTCGTACGGACGGAGCAGGAATTAACAGACGGACAGATAGTTCAATAACACGATGACGGTGGTGGCTGGCTGAAAATACTTTTAAGTTAGTCGAGCTCTTTACAGTAAAACAAAAGAAAGAACCATCATATGCTTCCAGGTTATATCGCAGATAATGAAACCAGAGAATACATCAACTCGAGTAGAAATCGCTTTGTTACCAGTAGACGCTCTGGACTCCTGAGCTGATACGCGCCTGTCCAAAAGGTGCGACTTTTGTATGGTCAAGTGCGACCTAGGTCACCTTCTATTTAAACCCAGTAGAGGACCCACGTTTAGCTCATCAGGCGATATCTCGCCTTCTGAGTAGAATCTGTGGTTTCATGCTGAATCCACCAAAATTCCGAGATCGCGGAGTTGAGTCCATTTATTACCCGTCGTTGACATTATCCACCGATGAACCACTGGTAAGAGACCCCGCCGGTCCATCGGACCGAAAGATATTATTGTACACTGAACGTCAACCTTTCGGATACTCAACATTTACCTGCTTATGAACGATAAGAATCAAAGAGGATTCATCGGAGCAACCTCACAATGACACAGTCGTTACCATTCTACCTCTACAAACTGGTTCCCTCTACGTCCCCGGTCCGGGAGCCACTTCCTGAACGCTTACCCGTCAGCGAACTCGACCAGGAGTCGGGCTTCATCCATCTGTCGACCGCACTGCAGGTTCCCAACACATTGAAATACTTCTTCAAGGACGAGCCGTTAGTCTATGTGCTGCGTATAGAATCCGAGCGAGTCATGGCCGACATTAGATGGGAGTCGCCAGATGCAAAGGTTTGCGGGCCGCGACCCGATGAAGGTCTTTTCCCGGTAGGTTCTAGCTATCTTTTCCCTACAAGACGTAAACCTTGGCCTTTTCCTTGTCCATTTGTGACCTACCACTCAAAACTGAGGCCTTTGAAATATTTACTGATCACCCCAGCATCTATATAACGGGTTGAAGCTGGGAAAAAATGAGGTTGAGAGTATTGCGGTCTGGACGAATGAGGCTGGGTGGGACAAGGCGATCTCACAGGCGAAACCATGGCTTTTATATTAAAATCAGAACGAGTTGGTCAATTACAATGCAGACTAGGTTTGACATGTCCAAGCTTTCCTCAGAGATCCCTCTGATTAATCACCTAAGGGATAACAATGCATGACCTGCCCGTCTGTACAATTCTCAGTTGTCTCGTCCTCATCCAAAATCGGACCCAGAAGCATAAGGCAAACTTACAATAAAGCGCAGCATCGGCACTGGCAAGAAACACGAAAGTAGTCGCTACTTCACTTGGCTCACCCGGTCGACCCAGGGGAGTCTTGGAGCCCCAGTTGGCCATCTGTTCAGCGTCCCTGGTGTCGGCCTGGATTGGGGTGTAGATCGCACCAGGACTGTTGAATGAAACGGTTAGCTAAGTATTGTGTGTGTGAAAGAGCTCAACTCCTGGTCACTTACGCAACAGCATTCACTCGAATACCCTTGGGAAGCAGCTGAGAAGCTAGAGATCTGGTGAACCCGACAATGGCACCTTTCGTGGCCGCATAGTCCACCATACTGCTTGAACCTCGGAAGGTTACGACAGATGTGGTGTTTATAATGCTATTGATATAAGAACGATGAGTTAAACGCGCACACTTCAGACCGAGGGATACTAACGAGTCGCCCTTTGACAGGAATGGCAGAGCATATTTCGTCAGAGCCATCATCTGGATGATGTTGGTCCGGAAGATATCTTCCACTTTATTCAGGTCGATATCGGCGAAGTTCTTATTCATATACTGTTTTGAGGCATTGTTGATCAGGACGTTCAGTCTCTGGAACCTGCTTCCGTATCAGTCGGTGCGATATAGGCCGGTTAACAAAAGGCCCGTGGTTACTTGTTCATATGCTCCTCCACGGCCTTTCGACACATATTGTGATCCCTGAGGTCTCCAGCGACAAGTAGGCATGATCTCTTCTCGAGTTCAATGGCTCTCTTGGTCTCTTCAGCGTCATCTTTCTCTTCGGGAAGATGGACAATTGTGATATCGGCCCCTTCCCGTGCCATCAGAATAGCAACAGCTCGGCCGATCCCGGAGCTATACACTCGTCAATATCGTTCACTAAGTAGCGCACCTAAAGCTGATGGACATACTCTCCGCCGGTGATGAGCACCTTCTTGTCCTTCAATCTGCCAGAGCCTACATACTCAACAAAATGCCCTCTTGACTCCAGTTTCGTCGCTTCGCTGGGAGGAGCCATATTCTTTTCGAGTCTAATGATCATGTCCTTAATACCGGAGTCCTTAAGGGTCACACAGGCAAGGTCTAAATACTGACCCCGGTTTCTGTTGACTTTGCGGTGCCTGAGGCGGTTGAAAAGCACCTTCCTTACCCATCTGAGACGTCATTTCGAAAGTGACTGCTAGGTTGCTGTAGATGAGTGGAATTCTTGTTCGAGCTTCGCATTGGAAGGCTGAGTAGGCACCACCTTTGCGAGTTCTTAAATACCACAGTGCACCAGTTATACTGTCACTCTGGCGTCATCTTGTCGCAAATCGCTAGGTAATATACAATTGAGCGCAGTTTCAGTCTACCATGGATTACCACCTCACGAATTAGGATCTTTGGGACTCTTCCAGTTGTGAACAGCATGTGGAAGTGGAGCGATGCATCTCGTTATCATTCGATCTAGGTAAGGTATGTTGCTATCCTACATCTTGTGCACGACCTCGCCTTCCTGGCCGATATGTTCAGACAAACATGACAACTTGTAGCTCCAGGGATCTAGACTGATTGCCGAAGCCAAGCTGAGCTAAAGCATATAGGTTTCATGGCTCAGTGCATCACAGAGGCACCCCCTCGCAGGTACTGTGATTACATGACCAGATATCAGCAACTCTAACTATTAGGGTAAATCAAGTCAGGTATAGTGGAATCTCGGTGCCCAGTATACACCCGTATGGAGTACTGCGTACAATGCTTCGATTCCTGCGCTTAGAATCTTCGCATCGAGTCCGACTATCGCAGATTATCAAATGCGATTATCAAGCAACAATAATATGTCGCCCCTCTGTCTCACCGCCTTAAGAGTTTTCGTTAAACAGCCAATTACAATAACGGGCTCCACCCTGACTATACTATTTCCGGTATAACACCTGCCGGGATTAGCTTGTGCGGCAGACAGTCAAAAGGCAATTTTTTTTCTCTCGAGGTTTTCTCTCTTTTTCTTTCTTTCCTTTCTTTGGGAAAGGAAGACTTTCTCCATCAACAGAACGTTTCTATCGTCGATCTGTTGATTATTTTGATCTGATACCCGTCTCTGCGTGTTACGATAGAAACCGTAGAGTCTTTCTCATTATATACACAATGCCCATCGCCAACGGTGACTCGCTCGGCCGTGCCATGAAGGCAGAGATTCAGGATCACACCAAGGCCCTGGAGGTCCTGGAAAAGGAATACACTACCAGAGACGGCCTTGATGTTGATACCCTGCTTGATTCGGACAAGCACGGAGCATTGACTTACAATGATTTCCTGATCCTGCCTGGTTACATCGGTAAGACAGTGGAAACTCGCCTTTACATAAGAGGACCGTTTGTTCATGATCATGACAGGATTCCCTGCTTCCGATGTCACTCTTGATACCCCTGTCACCAAGCGTGTCTCGCTGAAGGTTCCCCTTCTCTCCTCTCCTATGGACACTGTCACCGAGCACAACATGGCTATCCACATGGCTCTTCTGGGTGGTCTGGGTGTCATCCACCACAACTGTTCCCCTGAGGATCAGGCCGAGATGGTCAGAAAGGTCAAGAGATACGAGAACGGCTTCATTCTGGACCCTGTCGTTCTCTCTCCCAAGGCCACGGTTGGAGAGGCCAAGGAGCTCAAGGCCAAGTGGGGCTTCGGAGGCTTCCCCGTCACTGGTAAGCACACAATTTTCGTTTCCCTCTGCTGTCACCCCTACATGATGATTTTCCATCTTATCTCTTATAACTTTCGTTCCACTGGAGCAACGAGAGTTGCGATGTAGAGAAACGATTCTATCTGAAATCGACAACGCAGAATGATTTTTCTTGATCACAGTCACTGTTTGCAAGCCATTGACTAACCCGTGTTTCTGTGACAGAAAACGGAACTCTCCGCTCCAAGCTCGTCGGTATGGTCACATCCAGGGATATCCAATTCCACACCAACCTCAATGACCCGGTCACTGCAATTATGTCCACCGACCTTGTCACCGCACCTGCCGGTACAACTCTTGCCGAGGCCAACAACGTTCTTCGTAGCTCCAAGAAGGGAAAGCTTCCCATTGTTGATGCAAACGGAAACCTTGTCTCTTTGCTGTCTCGCAGTGACCTGATGAAGAACCTCCACTATCCATTGGCATCTAAGCTGCCCGACTCGAAGCAGCTGATCTGTGCTGCTGCTATTGGTACTCGTGAAGAGGATAAGCACAGACTCAAGCTTCTCGTTGAGGCTGGTCTTGATATTGTCATCCTCGACAGCAGCCAGGGTAACAGCATCTACCAAATCGAGATGATCAAGTGGGTGAAGAAGACATTCCCCGAAATTGACGTTATTGCCGGTAACGTCGTCACTCGGGAACAAGCCGCAGCTCTGATTGCTGCCGGTGCCGATGGCCTGAGAATTGGCATGGGCAGCGGCAGTGCCTGTATTACCCAGGAAGTCATGGCTGTCGGTCGTCCCCAGGCCGTGGCCGTTCGCAGCGTTGCTGCCTTTGCTGCCCGCTTCGGTGTTCCTTGCATCGCCGACGGCGGTATCCAGAACGTCGGCCACATCGTCAAGGGTCTCGCCATGGGTGCCTCTACCGTCATGATGGGAGGTCTCCTTGCCGGTACTACCGAGTCTCCCGGTGAATACTTCGTGAGCAACGAAGGCCAGCTTGTCAAGGCCTACCGTGGTATGGGAAGTATCGCTGCCATGGAGGACAAGAAGGCCGGTGCTGGTAGCAAGGATAGCAAGGCCAGCAACGCTGGTACTGCTCGTTACTTCTCCGAGAAGGACCGTGTGCTTGTCGCTCAGGGTGTCGCCGGTTCCGTGCTCGACCGTGGTTCGGTCACCAAGTTTGTTCCTTACCTTGTTGCGGGTGTGCAGCACTCTCTGCAAGACATTGGTGTCAAGAGCCTTGACGAACTCCACGACGGTGTCAACAAGGGCATTGTTCGTTTCGAGATGAGAAGCGCTAGTGCCATGGCCGAGGGTAACGTCCACGGTCTGCACAGCTACGACAAGAAGCTCTACTCGTAAAGGGCTTTGTTGGATGTAAAAAAGCGTAACTTCTTTTTATGTCTCTTCTCTCTCAGGACTTGTCAGTACAGGCTAAGTTCACATGATGATACGCGCTTGGTATGAAAGTAAAAATTGGGCATGATGGTTTTGGAGTTTGACATGGAATGCACTTCGGATGATTTTCTTCAATGTTGCTGTTCGAAGTAATTATGCTTGCCGTCAGGCAATTCAATGAATCCAAAAAGAAAAAAATCCTAAAATATATCCCAAGCTACTTATCCTTGTAAGCCTTTGGTTTTCATGCCTCATGATGACTTTGAGACATGCGTCCTGCAGGAGATCGCGCGCGGGGTAAAGTAGGAGAGCCTAGGTTCCATCTGCCATTGCCAAGGTTAAGCTACCGATCCCCGGAAACCACCCAGGCACCATAACCTTCCCAAGTGGTACCAATTGATCCTTAATACTACACATAAGAAGCAGGGACATAACGCGCCTTCAGCGGCGCTCGTCTCTCATGGTCACCAAGACATTCTTTACTGGGCCTTTCAGCTCAACTTCCCGGTTCATCTGCAGATCTGGCCAATCGTTTCAACGTCGGCTAAGCTTGGTCCGAGGTCGACGCTCCTGGTGTATACAAGTATTACCGGTACTTTGCATCTGTCAACGTGCAACATTCAACGTTAGAAACTTCTCTTCTACAGTGCAGTCGTCGCAGTCCACTGGATCGCACAAAATGCCAGCTAAAAAGGGTGAGCGATCCAAGGCGACACCGACGATACCCAGGCCGAGCTCAAGGTTAGTACATAATACGCCCCTTGTTTACCCTGATACTATCCGTGATGAGCATTTGAAGCCGGCGCTTATGTTATATGCGCTGTTAAATTGATTAAATTTTCGTATCTTTTAATTCTACGGCTAACATGCGGCAGCGTTATACTCATCTCGCCGAAAAATGAAGTCCTGTTACTGCATCGCGTCAAGACATCAACTTCATTTGCCTCGGCGCACGTATTTCCCGGAGGAAATCTGTCTGCTGAGGACGGGGAATGTCCCGCGGTGGAGGATCCAAAGAGGCACGAGGATGCGCCGTGGTACCGCAATGCTGCCGTGAGAGAACTGTTCGAGGAGAGTGGCATCCTGCTGGCGAGAGACAAGAACACAGGCGTAATGCTAGCTGTACCCGAGGCAGAGAGAGAAAAAGGAAGACGAACCATCCATCAGCATGAGGTGACTTTTGCCGAATGGTTGAAGAAGCAAAATCCTGCAGCAGTACCGGATATAGGTACGTTGTTTTCAAGTCGTCCCATAAAGTACCGACATGTTCAACTGACGAAGCTACAGAGCCTTTGATCCCGTTCACGCGATGGATTACCCCTACGAATGTCCCCAAACGGTACTCGACACAGATGTACCTCTACTTCCTGCCTCTTCCAGTTGAGACAGACCAGTCAGTGCTGAACGAGATCCCCGCCGAAGGAGAGCGGGAAGAAATTCAAGTTCCTACGAGCGATGGCGGAGTCGAAATAACGGAGGCCATGTTCCTGCCTGCAGCAGAATGGCTGCGGAAGGCTCAAAGCGGCGAAATCATCATGTTCCCTCCGCAGTTCCTCCTGTTACATCTAGTGTCACAATTCCTTGACAAGGAACCGCGAACGACGGCTTCGCTCGAGGAACTGAGGAACCGACGAGCGGAATTGATGGAGTTTGCCCACTCGGGATCACCGCCCTGGACGGAGAAATGTATCTCTCCTAAGATGCTCAAAATGTCCTCGGATGGACGGACTGTGTTAGCATTAGATCATCCCGGACCGGAGTTGGAGGGCACAAATCGGGCTGGGGAGCCGGATCGGGTGGTGTATGTACAGTTCAAGCAGGGGGCTGCGCGAAAACTCGATGTTCGATGGAAGAAGGATGTCTTTGCAGAGCAGGAGAAGAGCAGTCTGTAATGGCGCAGGACATAGCATACAAAGAAAGAGCAGCGTGAGAAGCTCACTAGTGAAGAGCTGCAGTCATATAACGCTATCCCACATTTGTCTTAGCTGGTACTGGTAAAATACCGTTTGGCGCAGACGCCACACGCTACACGCCACAGCATAGGCACCGCCACACGAGAAAATCGGAGCCCTCGATAAAAAATCACATGACCCACACAACCCGC